TCTACAGGTGCTACAGTAAATTCTCCCGATAAAAGGAGAGATACAGGAATATTAAGAGGTCAGTATTGCTCCATTGGAAGGTCTTCAGTTGACTTGACAATCAAAAAGGAATCCTATAAAAAGTGGAAACCTGGAGAAATTGCTGAGGATGAAATAGCACATGCATAGGTCATAGATGAAATTTTGAAAGAGTAGTTAAGGACATAGAAGTAAACAGTAATTGGACAAAGTACAGCAGGGTTACAACAGGTATGTCAAACCAGACCAATCTGATTATTCCTTGAGAAGGTAACCGGTTTTCTAGACAAAGGAAATACAATAGATCTACCTGGTTTTTAGTAAAGCATTTGATACAGTTCCAAATGGAAAACCATCCATAAAATTGGAGAAAAGGAGGATCAATACCAGAATTAAAGGTGGATACGGAACTGGTCCCAGGGGAGATCATGCTGTTATGTGACCTGTCAGGCTGCAGGGTGATTACTAGTGGAGTTCCTCAGGGATCAGTCTTGGGACCAATTTTGTGGTACATTTTCATTAATGGACCAAGAGTCGGAATGTGTGAATACAATTTGCAGAGGACACAAAGTTGAAGATATTGCCAGCAGGGAGGAGGACCAGAATATCATACGAGAAAATGTGGGCAACCTTGAAAACTTGAATAATAGAAACAGGATGAAATGTAATGATGCAAATCAAGCTTTTGGGGACTGACCACTAGTGTGTGCTTTAAGCTGGGGACTTCTTAGTAGGAAGCCACAGAGGAGCAGAAAGAGTGGAGTATATTGGTCAGTCACAGTATGCTGCAGCTATGACAAAGGCTAATGCAATCCTGGGATGCATCGGGCAAGATATCTCCAGTAGAGATGGGGAAGAGTTGATTTACCATCATACGAGGCAGTAGTGAGACTGGGATACTGTGTGCAGTTCTGGTCCCCAATGTTGAAGAAAGATACATTCAAACTGGAACAGGTGCAGAAGAAGGGCTACTAATGTGATCTGAAGGATGGAGAAGTGACCTTAGGACAGGAGACATAATGAAGTTGGCTTGTTTAACCCAGCGAAACGAAAGCTGGGAGTAGATATAACTGTTCTCTGTAAATACATCAGAGGGATAAATACCAGGGAGGAAGGGGAGTTAAGGGCCAGTGTTAGCAAAAGAACAACTGAATATAAACTGGCCATCCACAAGTTTAGGCTTGAAATTACACAAAGCTTTCTAACCAGCAGAGGACTGGCAGTCTGGAACAGCCTCCCAAAGGAAGCAGTGGGGACAAAAAACCCTTCAGGCGGAGGTGGATAAATTTATGGAGGGGATGGTGTATTGAGATTGCCAACAATGGCACATGGCCTTATCTGCAACTGCTTTCAGCAAATGTCTGCAGTGGCCAGAGATCAGATCCTGCATGGGGAGAGGGCTTTGAGTTACTTGGGGTCAGGAAGAAATATTCCCCCAAGTGAGCTTAGCAGGGAGCCTGGGGTTTTTCACCTTTCTTTTCAGTGTGGGGCATGGATTACTTGCTGGTTTGAGCTCGAGTACTGGTGACCCCCAACTTACGACTGCCCAATATGAAACCACCTGCATTTACAACCGCCCTGCTCTGGGGGCTGCCTACCTCCCAGCACAGCCCCTGGCAGGCTCTGGGTGCTGTTCGCGCTGCTGGCTCCAGAAGACTACAACTCCCAGGAGACAAAGCGGGCCAGGAATGGGACCCCCCATTCATAACATTGCCCCTACGGGCAATAAGGGTTCAACTTATGACATCCTGACTTACGACGGTTCTCCAGGAACCAATTAGGTCATAAGTGCAAGGGTGGCCTGTAAATAGTTGATTCTCTGTAACTTGATCATGTAGTCCTATTGTAGGAGTGAGTGAGTGTTATTGAGGCCTGGGATGTTTGGGAGATCAGACTTAGATGGTCATGGTAGTCCCTTCTGGTTTCAGTGAGTCTATAACTCTGTCACTTTGCAGCTGACTCAGCAAGCAGGCAGTACCTACCCTCAGAGCACCTGTCTCATGGAAAAGCAAGCCGCAGATCACTGTTTGTCATAGTGTGGAAGCTTGTCTGCAAGATATTTTTCTTCTATTGTCTCTTCTTCAGCTACCCCCCCTGTAAAAGGGTGGCGACTCCTGCTTCACCGGGGTGTTAGCGTCTTCACGCAGCTTGGCGGACATCCCGTGGCTCAGTATTTAAGCAGCTTGGTTGCAATACTAAAAATAAAGTCCAAGGAAAATGCTTTTACACAAACATCCCAAAGAATTAACATGGCCGAGGGGAAATTTACTCAGAGTTGTGTAGTGGGAACAGAAAGCAAGAGCAGTGGGCAACCCCGTGGCTTTGGGAGGCAAGCCCCTCCAGCCCCACCCCTTGCGTCCGAGGTCCTTCTATGCCCACTGGAGCCTAGTTTCCCCCTGCCCATGGCTGCTGCTGACACATGCTGAGTGCCCCCCCCTCTCCTTTGCCCCCCCCCCCCACCCACACACACAATGGGGCTGCTGGCCCTAGCCCCCTGCCTAGGGATGTTAAATTTCGATTAATTAACTAAGTGAATAGTCGGTGGGATTTCTATCGACTATTCGATTAGTCTATAAGGGCACCTCTGCCCTTGAACTGTAGCAAGAGCCCTGCATGGCTCTTGCGACAGTTCAAAAGTGGAAGCCCCGCACTCCCTGCAGCGCCCCAGTCTTTGAAATGCGCAAGAGCCCCAACCAGGGAGTCCGGTTCAAAAGTCCCTGCTTTTGAAATGTACAAGAGTCCCACAGGGAGTGCGGGGCTAGTGGGGGCCTCTTTTTAGCTGGCTCTCCCCCAGCACCTGCTCTCCCCTCCCCCCGCCACCTCTCTCTGATAGAGGCAGCAAGGGGGAAAGCGACTAGTTGCATCACTAGTTAACTGTCCAATAGACTTTTGCTTACCGGGTAGTCGACTAGTTGCTTACATCCCTGTCCCTGCCCCCAGATGAGCTGGCGGGTGGCCCCGGAGAGCCGGTGGGCTGTGCAGCCCCAGGCTGAATCCCTAACCAGGAAGTTCTCCCACCATGCAACCCACCCGCCAGCCCCAGCACTGGGTGGCCAGAGTAGCCCCAGTGCTAGGATGTCAGGTGGCACAGCGCAGTCCCCAGACTGCCTGCCCCAGCTTCTGACACCACAAGAGCAGGCTTGGGAGTGGGTGTGGGGGACTCCGTTGGAACACAGGTGGGGCCTGGGGAGGCAGTTTGGGAAGTCGGTGCCTTCTGCTGCCTGTGATACCGGCCACCCATGACAGAAGGGTTGATAACTGGACTGATTCAGTCTCTAAGCAGTAATGTGGTTAATTCCTGGATAGGTAAAGAGCCAGTTCCCAAGTGCCACATTTTCCAGGCAAGGACAAGTTTAGAAACAAAGATGTTTAAGGGTCAGTTGTTTCTTTAGTCCGGGCCAGGCATTTTCAGTTTCTTTAGTCCGGGCCAGCCTGACTACCAGTGATTCCATAAAGCACTGAGAAGGGTTTGTCTGTTTGTCCTCTCTTGCCCCTCATTTGATGACTGATGCCTGCATCTGCGTACAATTAGAGATAAGGTGTGGGTGGCTGTTATTACTCTCCTGACATGCTGTCCTTCTGTTGGATGTTATTGAACAGTCAGTGTTATTCCAGGGCAGCCGGCTTATCCGGGAGTTGCTCGCCACAGGATCTAATTAAGGAAGAAAAGAGGAAGGAGGCAGAAGAGCCTGTTTAAGAACAATCGCATTCTAAAGCCTCCCCTTTAATGAGGAAATTGAATTTGTGACTGCAGGGCCCACTTGTACATTTTGGAGCCAAGTGAAGACTGAGCATGCTGTGTTTCAGGGCTCTTCAGCCATCTGTCATAATGTTTGCAGCTGCAGCTCGGCCTCTCAAGAGCGCCTCGCCTGTGCTTTGTGTTAAACTTGTCCTCGAGCTCTTGATACTCAGGAACATTAAATGGTTATTCTAATTGTACCGCTCCGTCTCTACTTACAATCATCCCTCTTCACGGGAAGAAGGGGAGGTGTGTGGCTCAGTTCGGCTCTTTTACCCAAGTTCCTACACACCTGTCCTCAAAAGCAGAGCATAGTCTTTCTAGAATGCTATGGACTCATGCCCCACAGCCCAGACATGGTAGCAGCCTTGATGGGCCAGTGGCAAGGATTTACCCCAAGGAGTTTAGGCACCTGACTTCCACTGATTTTTGACTTTCTGTACATTGGGCACATTTCTCTCAGGCCCCATTGAAAATTCTGGTCTCTCTGCCTTTGCTTCAGATTGTAAGAGAGTAGGTGAGCTTGTTCCAGTAAATGATCTATCTGTCTGGTTTATCACTTAGCCCCAAAGGGACTAGGTCATCCCCAGGCAGAGGTTGTCTGCAGACTAGCCAAATTCCAAAGATTTTGTGAGGGGCAGGAGGCAGGAATTCTGGTCACTATACTGGGACTGATGAAGGTCTCTGCCCCTCATGTCTGCAGCCTTCCTTCTGTTGCTGCCGAGCATAATACAATTGGGAGTGTTGTTCACATAACTGATGGTGTCACACTGAAACGTCATTGTTCAAATGTCTCCAGAACCCTTCAGCAAAACAGGACTGCTCTGAGTAACTTTGCTGAACTCTACTTGAACTACTCCAGTCTGGCACAATCTGGTCTGGCAACATCCAAGGTTTTGAGTGAGCCGAGTGTCCACTTATCGCAGGTGTGGCCAAGTTTCCCGTGGTCCCAAAAAGTTTGTTTACAGCCACCAGTCCTGGCTCTCTGTGTTATTTAGCTCTAAATTACCCCAAATGTTTTCTAAGAGCCCAGTCAGCAGTGGAAGTGTTGATAATGCTGCTAGACAATACTGACCTCCCGTGGTCTGGCAAATTCTCTGGTTCAGCACTAGTCAGGTTACGGACTAGAGAGGTTCAACCTGTACTACATGTCTCAATGGTGAAAATCATTTGTCTGCATATCTCTGGTTTCCAGGGCCTGATCTCTTGCACTGATGAGTTTTGCCTCTCTGTTTTGTTGCAGGAGTCGGCACCAGGAATTATTACAGGAAGATTGGTTATGAGCTGGAAGGACCATATATGATGAAAAGGCTGGACTAATGCCCTTAACCAGAGGCATTGAAACCCATCTTCATACCAGCCCAGCTGCTGGAAACACAGCAGAGAAGATCCCAACTAACCCTGGCAAGAAAGCTCCGGGGGGAAGATTGCAAGTTTAAACCAGAGATCTGCTTGTTGCTAAGTATTTGTTCTGCTGGAGTCCCCTACCACAAATTGAAATCTTTCCCAGGAGGGTCTCTCCTGAAAGGGCCTCCAGGGGATCTCATGAGAGAACCACACATCTCATTAGCTGACGCGGTACTGCTGGAGTTGGTGTACTTGTGCAGTGAAACAAGCAGAGCTGCACTGCTTTGCTGATGGAATAGTCTCGTTTTAGGGGGCCCAGTTGAACATCTTGCTCCCTTTCTATCTGCATTTCCATTATAATGTCATTAGCGTGATGGTTAAAACTTGGTCATGGCAGGCTTGCAGGCAGTTGAAATTGGGCTTGCATTAGTGTGGGCATCTCTTTTTAAGCTAGGCTGCCTGTCTTCTGATCCTGAGTAACAAGAGTGAATTATTTTGGGGTAGCTCTATGTGGGTGGGATGGGAGGATTTGTGAACAGTTTGGATAGTCTAAAAATGTTGTGCACAATACAGAGCCTAAATTCATATGAGCAACGAGAGATTTTTAACAACAGTCTTATTCCCCTTCCCAGAAGAGTCCGAATAATTATCCAATGTAAGGCCAAGCTGCAAACCTCAGTGTGTAAAGGCTGCGTGTTCAGCTCATGTATTCACCATCGCCCAGTCCCCTCTTTTGGGGAATCCCGGGGTAGAGCAGGCTGCTGAATGCTCTTGGTGACAGTGGCGTAGGCAGACTGGGATGGGGGGAGAGAGGGAGGGCGGTTAGGGTGAGGAGGCAAGGACAGGAACAATCAGGGCCACCTCTCCCCACTTCCAGTGCCCTGGGGGGCGAGGAGAGGTAAAAGGTGGACCCCTTCCTGTACTGTTCCCCTGCCTGGCACTCTCCTGGAGGAAGGGGTAGGGCATTAGGGCATGCCCAGCTCCATCAGCAGAGAGAGGGTCAGGCCACAGGGGCTTGGTCCAATCTGCCCACCCAGTGCTCCTGCCAGAGGGTGGGGTTGGGCTGCGGGGACTTGGCCCAATCTGCCCGCTCGGCACTCCTGCCAGAGAGCAGGGTCAGGCCACAGGTGCTTGCCACGATCCAGCTGGGGTGTGGGGTCAGGGGCTTACAAGCTGCCATACTCAAATGCCACTCCCGGGCAAGAGCAGGAGGAGCAGAACAAGTCCCCCACCAGGCTCCATACCAAGCCCCATGCCCTGATCCCAGATTCCAGTCCTGACTCCCGTGGCCTGACCCCTACCCTGCTCCCTGGCAAGAATGTCAGACCAACTAAGCAGGGCAAGCAGTATAGCAGGAGTAAAGCTGGGATTGGGGGGATGGGTCTGGATGATAAGTGGATGGGCCACGGCCCACTCAGGCCCACCTGTGGCTACACCACAGCTTGGTGGTCCAATATTCAGGCACTCAGAAGTATATTTTTAGATGCATAAAGCTAGATTTTAGCTGTTGGACTCATTAAAGTCAGTGGAAGCCATGCAGCAAAAATGGAATGGATTGCATTAGAATGCATCTCTGCATGCTAGAGAGGAGCAGCTTGGACTCTTTTATAGACTTTCAGACTGAACTGGGGTTGAAATGAAGGGAAGCCACGTGTATTGAGCTCAGCATTTTACACCTGATAAGTGAATCTGCCCCAAGTCTTCTGGAAATTGCCCTGTAATAGCTGCCCATAGACACGTGCCATTCACTTGGAGAGAGTCTCTGCGGTTGCGTTTCAATGCTGTTCAGTAAGCGTGACTGCCACCGCGATCTATTGCCGCTTCAAAACACTGGCTTCTGGGTCAGGGGTTGAAGCTGCTCTGACGTTTGCTGTCGCACACCAAACCCAGGAAGGGGAGAAATATGGGCAGGCTGTAGACCTGCCTCCTTTCTGGAGAGAATCTTAACAGAATGTGCCAAGAATCCTGACAAACTTTTTATTATTAAAGTGTGAACTTCTGAATGGTGTCCTGCGTTTTAATAGTTCAGTGACTAAACTGCACCCAGACCAGCTTAACTCAGAGGTAGGAAAATACTATGCCATTTTTACTTTCTAATGGTATATACAAACAGCCTGCTTTTCCGAGAAGAAAAGGGTGTTTGGAAGGGTATTTCTGCTGGAGGGGTTTGTTGTTTTGGTTTGGTTTTTTTTTTACAGGTCTTTCTTGCGAGACTAAATGGAGAACTGGTAGAAATCTGACATCATAAATACAGATGAAATCAAACCTCGTTAGTTAAGGAAAGATTATTTTTATTCAGATAATTTAAAATTCTCTTTGAGGGATAGCTTGTTTTATCATCACCTGCTTAGCTTACATGATTGAGATACACTTGGAATAAAAATAAAACTCTTGCTTTACGATTCAATAACTCCCCCTGTTATCCTTTAAATAAGAGCTGAGAGGTTCTGGAACGGCCTTCCAAGGGAAGTGGTGGGGGCAAAAGATCTATCTGGCTTCAAGATTAAACTAGATGGGGTTATGAAGGGGATGGTTTGATGAGATAACATGATCTTGGTAACTACTTGACCATTCATTATCAGTGGGAAATAGGTCAATGGAGGGATGATAGGAGTTACTATAGAGAACTTTCTGGGTGTCTGGCTGAGTCTTGCCCACATGCTCAGGGTTTAGCTGATCGCCATGTTTGGGGTCAGGAAGGAATTTTCCTCCAGGGTAGATTGGCAGAGACCCTGGCGGTTTTTCGCCTTCCTCTGTAGCATGGGGTGCAGATCACAGCTGGAGGATTCTCTGCATCTTGGGGTCTTCAAAGTATTTGAAGGCTTCAATATCTGAGATATAGGTGAGAGGATTGTTCTAGGAGTGGGTGGGTGAGATTCTGTGGCCTGCACTGTGCAGGGGGTCAGACTAGATTATCATAATGGTCCCTTCTGACCTTAAAGTCTATGAGTTCTCAAAATGGACATTTCTGAAACCTTTAGGTCTTCCACAAAATCAGAGAAGACTGGATTTGACACTTGTGATACTTCCAAGGTTTAAAAAAACCTCTTGAGCAACTTTCTCGCTTCTTCAATAAGCATCAAAAGATAAAAAACCTACTTTCTAGTTTTCCTTTTACAGATCCGCTCTTGGTTCTCGGTCTTCTTCCTGCAGTTACTCTGCTTCTGCCAGAACCCAGTTTCGTTAGCCCCTCTTGGCCACACCCTGATGACATAGGACCCTAGAGCCAGTGTTGCTATGGAGTCCTCTACAGTCTGCATTCCAAAAAATATCAACTCTTTGCAGTCCACTGGTGTTAACAGTAGCATCCTGTGCACGTTCCATGTTGAGTAATTCATTTGTGCTGGGCTGAATTCCCCTGGCAGTTTCAACTGGACAAAGTTTTCTTCATTTCTTGGCCTAAATCCTTGTATGACATTGTTGTGAACACACAGCTGCCACATTGCCCCCTAGAGGGAGCTGCCCTTCACTGATGGGTAATGATTCCTTAGCTCTGTTTTTAAAAGTATATGGCAGGGCTACCCAACGTTGGAAGCCCTGGGGGCCACAGTGATACAGCACATGCCAAGGGCAGCAACTTAAGTGTGGTTGCATATACATGCAAATATATATGCAAGTATATGCAAATAGCTTCTTTCACACTGACGGGCATGAATACAAAGATTAAGGCAAGACTACACAACACGTAGGCCCCATTTAAGTTAGTTCTGCTGATATTAATAAAATACAATATTTACCCGATTTTCACCCATATGATAGTACTTTTAATGAGCAATGACAGTCCAGGAATTTGACTTCTAAAACACATATCAACAGAAGACCATTCTATTGACTAGCTTTTTGTTTTGGCTCCCACCTGCAGGTCTCGTGTTGAGCCCTACATAAATCCAAACACACTGCGGGTCGCAAACAAACGGACCGCAGGCTGCATGTTGAGTAGCCCTGGTATATGGGAACCTGTACATTGGAGTGCCTTTTGTAAATATGTCATCTCGATTCTGTTAGGTCTCTATTCCACGCTCGTCCTCACTGTATCTGAGCACCTTTCTGTAGTAACTATTGAGTGGTCACATGGTGTTTGTTCTCCAGAGGGGGAAATGTGTGCAGCAGAATATCTTGATTGTCAGGGGTTTCGTTATTAAATAAATATACCAGTTGCTGTGTATTTATGTTAAAGTCATAGAAATGCCCCTTGCAGCGGGAAAAGTGATGACATTTGTGATGGTCCTTAATTCCTGGGTAAGTTGATTCCACAGTCTCAGACCACCCCTGGAGAAAGTGTCAGAGGAACAAAGTTATCAATCATGGTCTTTGCCACGGACCCTTGGATAGTCTTTTAGGTATCCTGGAGCCAGGGCATGGAGCGCTTGGAAGATAATGCCCAGGATCTTGAACTTCATACAGATTCTGTGGGAAGTAAAAGACAGGTGTGTTGTGTTCTCAGTAATCCAGGTGGCTGAGGACACATGCTGCAGTTTTTTTGTACTACTTGGAGTTTCCTAAGTGCTATATGTTTCATTGCTGTAGTCTAGGTGAGAAGTGATGAAGGCAGGAATAACTGATGCCAAGTTTTCTTCTGCCAAGATGACATGAAGTCTCCTAGCCAACTGGAGATGGCAGAAAGCATTGCTTGCAGTTCTTGTGATGTGAGAGCTTAGCATCCATGAGGAATCAAAGAATATTTCTAAACTCTAGACTAAATTGACCAGTTGTGGGTGTGAAACTTCAACCAAGGGAGATTGCACAGCCCTCTGAATACTTTCCTGTGATCATCGGGTGTACCAAGTATTCTAGGGCAATGAGATAAGCTAGCACGGAGTTTGCAGTGTCGTCCAACTAGGTCTTGGTGATACAAGCTAATATTGGGCACTTCATCGCTGATAAAGTCATGTATTGTCCGTTGCTTGTTAGTGGCAGATCTAGTGTTGATCAGCCTCAAGCAGGTTTCTTTTTCCAGCTTTTTGTTGAATGACATGAAGCTCCCTATTTGAACTGTGACAGCAGAAGTAGTAGATTTGGCATGGAATGTTCCGAGAGGAGGGCTTTGCCAGATGTCCTGGGCATGTATGTTCCAAGGGCATCTGCTTTACCCAATATCCGAAGAAAGTCAGGTCTGTTGGGTATCTTTCAGTGCTATAACCTCTCAGGAAGGAGTGGAGGTGGAGCACTGTGTTCCTTGAATAGTGGTAGGTTTGCTGCAAACACAGTGGCACAACAATCCAGGAATTAGTAGTAAATGACCATAATATTAAGGCTGCGCTCAGCTCAGCTGAGCTTCAGCCATCCATTTCTTTGGCATACGCTATGGCTGTGTCTATACTGGCAGCTTCTTGCGCAAGAACATCTGCCCTGTGTGAGCTGTGCTTTTGCGCAAGAAAGCTCTGATGGCCGTTTTAGCCATAGGGATTTCTTGCGCAAAAAATCCCTGCCGAGCGTCCACACTGCCCTCTTGCGTAAGAGCTCCTGTGCAAGAGTTCTTATACCTGTTAAAAAAGAGTTCAGCTCTTGCGCAAGAAGCCCTCTCTTACCACGCTGTACTGTAAATATTCTTGCGCAAGAGCGGGTGGGCAGTATGGACGCTTTCTGAAAGAACAGCCGTTCTTGCTCAATAACCCGCCACTGTAGACATAGCCTATCTGTGTTGTCATGATGCCCCTTGCTGCTGTTACCTGGTTTGGGAGGCAGGTAGAGAGGAGAGAGGGAAAAGAGCAAGCCCTTCCCTTTAGTCTTGGTTGAAGACTTCTATAGACTCATCCACCTCCTGGCCAGCGGGTGAATAAGTATGGAGAAGCGGGGCTGGGGCTTCTTCCACGTGAAGGAACAGAGCACTTCAGCAGCCCCCTTCCCTGTGGCGATGACGCAACTAAGGAAGGAGTGGGGGGAGGAATCAGAACCTCGCTTTCACCTTTGGAAGCTGAAAGAAATGTTCTGCAAAGTAAAAAGCAGCCAAAGGTCCCTGCTGCCATTTGCACAAGGGGCTGGCCGTGTGCTGGGCTGGGGAAGGAGGAGGCTTGCAGGGGAGCAAAAATGCAGTGCCTTTGGGGGCTCCCTGGTTGTCAAGTGTCCAGGTTGTTCCTGGTTGTCAAGTGTCCATTTTTTTTACCAGAATGCCCAGTTGAAAAGGGACACTGGCACTGCTAGCCAGGCTAATCCCTACCTGGTCGGGCTCCACACTGTGCCCCAGAAGCAAGCAGCAGGTCCGTCTCTTGGGCAGGGGCACCAGCTCTGCACTTCCATTGGCTGGGAATCATGGTCAATGGGAGCTTTAGAGGCAGTGCCTGTGGGCAAGAGCAGCACGCAAAGCCTCCTTCCCCCTCATCTATGAGCCAGACTTTGTGGCTACTTCCGGAACACAGCGCCGAGCCAGGACAGGCAGAGAGTCTGCCTTAGCCCTGCTTGCCTCTGACGAGGAGCTGTCCAAGGTAAGCGCCTGCCCCAGCCTTGGGCGCTTCCCCACCCCTCAATCTGGAGCCCCCTCCTGCACCTCAAACCCCTGTCCAAGCTCAGTGAAAGGGAGGAGGATGGGGGAGAGTGAGCCAAGGAATATAGTGAAGGGGCGGGGTTAGGTTTGTGCAAGTAGAAAGTTGCTAACCCAAGCCACCGCCAGACTCCACTGCTGCTGCTGAAGGGTGGGAAGAGAATGCAATCTGGGTGACTCAGTAGTGACGCTGCCAACTTTTTGTACAGCTTCCAGTGATGCTCAGCAGTCTGCCTTAATTACACAGTTTTAGTGTCTTCATCTAAGGAACGTATCCACTGACCCTGCCCCCTACGCTGTCCCAATAGCTTGGCCCTGATGCCGGAGGATTTCTGTCCTTTCCAAGCCGCTGTTTTACAAGTAGTATTTACACTGTGGTTCCAAATCTGGATATTCGGGATGTTACCCACAGAGGGGCCCTGACCTTAAGCCAGCCTTTTGGGGGAGCTCACATTGCTAATAGAAATACCCCCAGGGATCAGGGGCAGATACTTCTTCAACTGTCACTTCCACTCTTTGACCTGTCAGCAGCTGCACCCTGCAGGCTGCCATGGCCAAGACTTCAAACCACAACCCTCATGGACCATACTTGCAACTAGCCGCCCTCCCCAAGGGCTACACGCTCCATTGGAAGCGGCTGTCTCTATTCGATAGCACATTGCAGAGGGGCTACCTTCCTTTATGGTCATTACAAGAATCTTTTTAGTGGCTATGCAGGTTCCCCCCTTGCTGGATGGTCTCTTCAGATTTGACCTTTCTATCTTTTCAGTCAGTTACTAAATTGCACATAACTTCTTAGCCCATTTCTCTCTCGTGTAATATCCTGTGCTTTTGGTCTCAGCCTTTTGCTGAAGAAAGGGTTATAGTGCGGAGGGAAAATAAATAGGGAGGCCTCAACCCATGCCATCAATAAGGCAGCGGACTGTAGAGAGAGCACTTCCTGCTCCACCAAATGTCAAGGCTGCTGT